CTGCTGTTGTAGCTTTTTCATTTGTATGTCACGTGTGAACTTTGCTATTTAAAATACAAGAATCCTGTTTGATATGATGATTTTGAAGTGCCAAGTCTAAAACCTGAAAGCTGGGTGTCACGGTTTTCATGCGAGTAGACATCAAAACAAAGGGAGCATAAGCTCTCTATGAGCTTACAGTAATGATGCAGTAAAAAATAAAAAAAAATTACATCACAATATATTTTCAGCAAGATAAAGAACTGTATTATTCGATGGTTCATTTTTAAATATAATTGAGATAAAATCTTGTTCTCTTTGAGGAAATCGAACAGTCCAACATCAGGACCACAAAAAGGGACAGAGATGGCCTTTAAGACTCTGTATCAGACAAAACAGATAATGAACTGCTGGGCTACGGAAATAAAATTTAAAAAAACAAACCACAAAGGCTGCAAAATCTATACTAAAAAATTGTTCTTTTACAATCTGCTTGAAGATGAGCCTTTTAAATTCATGCCAAGATAATAAATAACTTTATAAGCTCATTGTTTTCCCAAGTGAAAAATAGTTTACAGGAAAATTCCATTTTATTGAAAGGCAACTGATATTAATGCCATTTTCAAAACAAGTTTTAATTCAAGCTTTAATTTTATTTACTGCCGCTAGGACTCTAAAAAGAGTTGTTCTTTGGTATTAATTGTTGTAACTTCTTTAAGAGCAAGAAATTGTCAGTAATGTCCAAAACTAGACTAAAGCTAGCTGGGGGTAAATTGGGAAAAGGAATACAGATTTTTTTCTCTACTTACATAAGAAATAGACATGAATTATCCAACTGAACATTTTGATTCAGAAGCATATCTAGCACATGTCTGATTACAAGCACACCAACTTGTTTTTCAAAATTTAAACCTGAAGCTGTGGGATCTTGATGAATAACACTGGAATTAGCAACTTGGTAGTAAGTTCATTACTTTTAGAGCCTGGTCAGTGATACTCAGTGCTTGTTAAATATGGACCTGTGAAAACCAATCACTTGGCCGGTGAACCTTGCCCTGTTCTCTAGTGAGGGGTTTTACACACTGATGTGTGTATGAAGCAAAATGAAGGTATCTCCACAAATCAGCATAGAAGTCCTTACATGATGTGGTAGGTTTGGACGTCAAGTAGAATTGATTTGGGGCATGATCCTCTTTTAATATAAACTGTCATACTGCATTGACTACTGATAGATGGCTAGATACCAAAAGCTCTGAAGAGATCTTTTTCCATGGATGTGTTGATGTAAATGTGGTCCTGCAGGAATTAGACATTTCATCTTTGGGTCATGGATGTACTGAAGAGCTTTTCAGTGGTTAATGCTATGAAACGTGCCCATACTCACCCCAACCTTGGATGGTTTTAAGGCTCAGCTTGACAGGGTGCCGGGCCATCTCATTTAAACTGTATTTCTTTACTTTAAAGGGTTGGACTAGACGATCCTTCAGGTCCCTTCCAACTCAGTAATCTATGATTCTATGACCTTTCTTATTTTGAATGCTGGGATTGTTCTATTGCGGATTAGGTTCTTTTTGCTTGTTTTGGGGTTTGGGGTTTTTTTAGGGTTATTTTTTATTGTTTTGAAGAAACTCTATACAGAAGGAAAGAAAACCAAAGACCAGGATATACACCTTTCGTAACTGCTTCACTGTATTATGTTGAAGAGACACAGGCTTTGTCTGTTCAGATCAGAGAAAGTTTGATTTCTTTAGTTAGCTGTTGTCCCAGCTTACTCGAGTATAATACTGCGTGTGTGAATTTTCACACCAGACTACTCTTGGAACTTCATAGGTCAGACATAATTTTTAATAACATTACAGGTGAACAACTGAGTTCAGAGCCTCTTTTAGGGGGATTACAGTCTGTTTCCAAGGCTGGGAACATAAGTTATTTTAGGAATGAACTTCATTTTGCATGGGCTCACATCTCTTCCGAACCACTGGGACCACACGGGTCAGAAGTAAAGCAAAATTTGGCCTACCATTCCAGCTGTTTCAGTACAACTTGCTTTTGTATCCTCTACATAATTAATCACCAGATCTCAGAGAAAATGTTGTCCCATTCACTGTAAAATAGGAGGGTCCACGGAGGAAAACAGTTGCATTAGAGAAACACACAGACAACATTAAGGCTACCTAGGTTGACGTTTTCAAACCTTTTTTCTTTTCCTCTGCAAACAGTGACAGTTTCAATAGGATCTGATTTATACTCTCAACAAATAATACACTAGTCTGTCATATGGTTAATATTAATGTCTCTCTATTCAAACATGCTGAAAACTGAATAGAACAGTTAACATATAACAGTCACGCATCCTTTGCTGAGTACAAGATCGCATCTCTAACATGAACTGAAGATATCCTCACCATTTCAGATTTTCATCTGTCATTCAGTCAAACATTTCATTCTCTTAAACACATCGCTTATCCCCTCTTTCTGAGCCTTTTGGGGGCGCTGAGTGAACACATTCTCTCCATAAAGGCATTGCTTATGATACGGCTCTTTCTTCAACAGAAATCTTGCCGGGTGTTTTCAATATCTTGCTAAAAGTGAATTTGCAGTTTGGCAGGATCTGGGGGCGAGAAGGCCTTACAACTTGATTGAAAAGATTGAATTTTCAAACATCTATTTGGGCAGGATTCTGTATTTTGTTGCTGAGAGACCATCTCTTGATAAAATTAATGGTCAACAGTTAATCAGTTGTGATAGCACTTCACAAATCATTGAATCAGAGCTTTATATAGTAGCCTGTTTTTTCATTATGGGTATGTTCACAGGGCTTAAGGGCAGAGGCAAGCTCACTTTGCTCATGTCCTGAACTGGTGGGATGTAAACAGTGGTGACAGAGAAGCCACATGACTGTAGGGATGCAAAGCTGAGCCCCACCTAACACACCCTGCCTTTCAGAGGGTTTATCTGGTGCGGGCTTGGGGCCATATCCACTACAGCCAGCTCAGCTCATGCACAGTGAGGTTGTGCCCAGCCACAACATCCTGCAGAAACGCGTCAGAGTGAGACCAGTCCTCATGGCGATCTCATCCTACTGATACGACAAAAGCTCTGTGGCTTTGAAGAAGGGAGTCCGAATGAGGCATGCTCCATCCTGGGGCATACAGAATAGTTTTTGCCCTCAAATGTATTTTTACTGAAAACACACAGCAAAGATTACAGCCATAGAAAGTTCTGTAAACAAGACAAGGTCATCAACTCTATCTTAAACAAACAAACAAACCAAAACTGCAAAAGAAACCCAAAATAAGACTTGCTGAATGAAGATTGTGAATAGTAATTTTTTTTTAACTGCCTTACAAAAAAAAAATGACATACACCTTCAGCATTTCTTTTCCAAATTTACTTGACAGAGGTTAAAATATTGCTTTATTCTGACTCAACATACAACAGCACTCTGTGATCAATTGTGCTATTTTGGGAAGTCTTGAGACTTGTGAACTGGAAAGTCTGGGGCACATTAATAAATTCAACAATTAATATGCTGCAAAGGTATATTTTAATACATTCTGTATATACTGTATTTTTTTTAAAATCAATCTTCTGACATTAACTAGGGAAGGCTATTTAGTGATTATTTATCATAGTTAATTTTCTTTTCCCCCACAAATAAGCATTTATTTTAATGCTACTAAAACAGTAACGTGTGTCACTGAACCCAATTCATTGCATTATTGGCATATTGTGTTACACTGATGTGGGGAAGAGGGACTCAAAAGAAAGTAAATGCAAAAAAATGCTTATAATGTTATTGGGATATGGCAACCAGGAAATGACATTTCTTCTCTAAGGCCTTGATTCCCTGCAGCGAGTGATTTGGTGGAAACTGTCTGTTCTTATATAGCCCCATTAAAAATCAGATCTGTGCACGCTTGTGGGTCTGCCCTTACCAAACCATCTGCAGGGCTGAAGCCTTAAAGTTCACGAGCCTAAGCCACGATTAAATAAAGTGACCAGAGAACCAAAAGAAGGAATAAGCTAGGGCAATGTGCATGATTATCCGCTGGATTTTTATCATGTTTGATCTCCCTGACTTTTCTCTGAACAACCCATAATAAAAATAAGTTTAAAAAAAACTACACACACACACTCAGAAGTGCTCCTTGAGAGCTTACAAATGCCTTCAAAGTATAACAGTTTAGAAACGTTGAGGGGTTGGTAACTAACAATGGAGTTTATGTTCCTACTCAAAAAACCCCGAACCCAATCCTGTTGTAATACACAACTTTTTGCACCTCCCTCACTCTCCACCAAGGCAGCTCTGATAAGCAAAGCTCAGAAAATAGAGCAGCCGTGGGCTCCTGACCACAGCATCTCTACAGACCCCAATCCCACTCCACACTTGGCCAAACCCAAAGCTCCTAAATGTTCCCATTGACCTTCCTGGGCTGACTGTCACATTAAAGGTCAAGAGTTAAGCATCTGGCTCAATTTAAGAATTTACTGTCATTCCACAGTAGGTAGCTCAGGAGCAGGCATCTGTGTGCCTGTTTCCATGGTATGAACCCGGAACCAAGAGGAGAGGGGGAGAGGGGACCAGGTCTGTGCTGGGGTCACAGGACTTGCTCCCCAGGGTGTGAACCCCTGGCCAGCAGCTCACTCGCAGCGCTGCCCTGAAACCAGAAATGAATCTAAGAATGGTCTTGGCCTTTACTGAAAAAAAGATGCATAGCCTAAGCCTTCGGGTAGCCAAACGGGGCCATGGTAACACGCTCTGTAACTGAAACTGGATGTGTAATCCTGCCTGGAAAGCACCTGATGTACGCTTCACCCCTCCTGGAACTTTTCCCTTAAAAAAATATTTTGTTAAAAAACACTATGATATGAGGGCGATTGACTATTTGGTTTCTTCTAAGTAGATGCTCTTAAATTAATGCATATAAATAATTTGTATTTCGTTTCCTCCTTTCCTGTTTAGCAAAGCATCGAATGCACAGATCTCATGTTTCCCCTCCCACAACCCCCACACAAAGTCACTTGGTCAGTACCGAGTCTCTTTGCGTTTCACTTTTTAAGACAAATTGTGCCTCTCGCTCTGACTTGGCCATGGGGCTCATGGGCAGAAAGACCGTGTTTTCGCTCACGCTGCTCTCTGCTTCTACGCTCGCCAGCTCATAGTCCTCCGACCGCCTCGCGTCCGTCAGAATCCGAATCTGCTCCTGCACAGTTTCTAGCAATATTTTCACTTCGTGTTGTTCTGCTATAAGACAATTACTGACGGGGGAACTCACATTGACAAGTTCAGCTGAATAGGAGTTTTTGCACCACTTGATGCCTGTTACTTCAGAAACATTTTGCATTTGCATGCAGGCTTCGTCCAAACCCACAGATGGGATGATGGGAACGGAGTTGGCCCTTGAAGATGAATAGCTGACCAAGTCCTTCTGATCCACGTTATTAAAATAAGGGGTTGTCTCTCTTGAAGGCAGTTGCATATTTATTGAAGTATTCTGAGGAGGTTTTAAACCACTGGATGAATACCTGGAAAGAGCAAAAAGAGGTGTTTGTTGTACGTCAAGCAGTCAGA